TAAAAATGAATAACGTAAAAATGGGTACTATTACAAATAATATAAAAATGTAAAAATGAATACTATTACAAATAATGTAAAAATGTTCAAAGGACTTGTAAAGAAAAGAAAAAAAAAAAAAAAAAAAAAAAATGCCCCCACTACATATAGACATAGGTATACGGAGAGAATAAAATTCATCAAAACCCTAAAATTCTACAACTACCTAACCAATTATAACGTTATTGATGGTTGAATGTAACTCAAATCTTAAACGCGGAGTTTGAACAAACCTTTATACCCAATATGCAAACACTAAAAAAACTCGATGGTATATTAAAATATATAGCTGAAGTGTGAAGCATTTGAAAAATAAGATAGAAATGAATTTGAAGATAGTTATTAGATTAGAGATGAAAATAAATTTAAAAAAAGGATCGAAAAATATAATAAGAATAAAGTTGGAGATAATGATAGGATTGGGGATTAAAAAAAAATTAAAATGGAAGAAATAAGAAATCAAGAAAAAGAGATAGGGAGCCTTAGATAATAAAAAGATTTTAAAAGTTAAAAATTTAAAATAAAAACCATAGTAAGAGAAAAAAATATTTTTTATTGGAAAAAAATAAGGATGAAAAATTAAAAACATAACTCTGAGAAAGCAACATGTAGGAAATAGAATCTTAACTCTGTTTAAGAATTGAGTATTGAGACTTTGAAAATTTTAGAGAATACACTACACTTGCTTATATAAATAGTATAGATATATACATAGATAAAAAGATAGATATCAAATCTAATTTGAAAAGTAAAGATAAAAATAAAATAAACATCTTACAAAAAAAAAGAAGGGAGAAATGTGGGAATTCGGTTGTTGATAATCAAAATTTAAAAAGATAAAATATTTATGAGAGATTACGTATGAGTAAAAGATAATTTTATTTTATTTGTTATATCAAAATAAAGGCATATATATTTTCTTGAATAGTAGCAAAATAAATTTACTTTTTAAATAAAGTTGTAATAGAATAAAATATATTTAATTTTTAAATTGCATGCTTGATGATATTTTTTCAAAAAAAATAAAAATAAAAATACATTGATAGAAAATTTTAAAATCACTGGTAGTCAATTGTTATTGTTATTTTTTATTTATTTATTTATTTTTGATTGGCAAATGTTAGTTGTTAGATTAACACCTATAGGGGAAAATCTCTCCACCCTTGGCAAAGCACCTAAATGCTTGCACTCCTAAGGGGAATTGAACCCATGACCTCCTTGGGACTAAGCCCTAAGGCAGGCATGGTGGCCAATTAGGGTCAATTGTTATCATTATAGCCTACAAAAAGAATTATGGATAAAATCATGGATAGCCAATAAAAAAATTAACACTTAGCATTAAATTTTGAAAAAATTAAAAAAAAATTGAAAAATTTAGAATAAAGTATTGGAATTCCTCGAAAAATATAATTAGACATTTCCGTTAATTTTAAAATTTAAATGTTAAATCCAGTAAAATTATGCCATGTGTGTTAATTCAAAAGTTAGAGAATACATGAATAGATTTGAACCATTTTTTTCAATATTGTAAAAAAAAAATTCAAAATTCAAAATTCAAAATTTTAAATTAGATATGTTTAGATAGAATTTAAAGATTTTAAAATTTTAAAATTAAATATTGTTAGATGTACCTATCACTTTAAGCCAAATGTATTTTTTATTTTTAAAAATTTTAAAATTGAAAAATTGTGTTTAAGGTTTTGAAGCTGTTTTGTGTGTGTGTATTTAATTGGGTGTATATTGGTTGCAAATGATTCGAAGAACACTCATTTGAGAGAGCTTAAAGGAGAAAATGTGAGATTAACTCTATGCATAGCTGATCTTCTTGATTTCGAGAGTTTACCTGAAACCAATAATGGGTGTGATGGTGTGATAGATATGAGATAAAACAATAAAAAAAATTAAATTCAAGATTTGGTGAGTTTCAAATCTGATTAAATTAAAGAACAAGCGCAAATCACAAATTAAAAAAAAAAAAAAGCAAGCCCAAATCATGCAAAATGTAATAATGAAGAAGATGTGTAAATGAATTGAAACATATTAGAAAAAAAAAATATACACATACAAAAGTAATACATTGGAAAAATACATATAAAGTAGGAAATAATATTAGGAGCATAAAAATAGAGAAAATGAAAAGATGTGTAGATCAACTGAAAAATATTAGAAAAAAATATATGCATACAAAGTAACAAATATTAAAAAAATACATATAAAGTAAAAAAATAATATTACACTGACCTTGTAATGATTTTCACAGATCATTAAACTTGAAAAATATAACAATCGAGAATATGAGTTATTCTGAGAAAAGATAGGTAGATGAGAGAATGATTGAATGTAATAATAGAGAAGATGAAAAGGTGTATAGATAAACTGAAAAATATTGGCAAAATATAAATATATATATATATATATACATATATACATACAAAAGTAATAAACACCGAAAAAAGTGCATATAAAGTAAGAAATAATAATAGGAGCATAAAAATGGAGAAGATGAAAAGATGTGTAAATGAATTGAAAAATATTGAGAAAATGAAATACATACACACAAAGAAACAAACACAAAAAAAATGCATATAAAATAAGAAATAATATTACACTGACTTTGTAATGATTTTTTCAGATCATCAAACTTGTAAAATGTAACAATGGAAAAGATGAGTTATTCTGAGAAATAAAAGATGGGTAGATAAGAGAATGATTGAATTTGATTGGAATAAACTTAATAGAGAAATGTGTGTGTGGAAGTTGTAGGAGTTGTGGGTTTCTTTCTTTTTTTTTTTTTTAAATTGAGATTGAGAGTGAGATAGATATTATTGTGGGTAATGGATATGGATGAATATTTTATTATTTTGAGATAAATATTATTGTTGATGATGGATATGGATGAATATTTTAGTATTTTATATTTTATATAGGGAGAGAGAGTGAGAAGGCTTGAAAAGTGGGAGGGAGGTGAAAGAAAGTGCCACATAATATCTTTTTTCTTCAAAATTAAGAGAATTTAGGATTTACGTTTTGGAGCCTTTTGACTTAACGACTACATTTGGTTATATATATAGTATAGATAGATAGATAGATATCACTTTGTCTTCCACTCGGCATTTTTTTTTTCGGTAATAAGATTATTTTTTTTATTTATTACGAAAAGACGTGTATAAAAGTAGAGAAATGATGTGACTAAAATAAACTAATAAGTCAATAAGTAACTTATTTATGTGTTCCCCAAAAGAGACCTATATGTAAGAAGGGTTTTCAGATAATTTTGTATATTTAACTAACTAATATCATCACCTTGGTGCATAAATAAACACATTTTATCTTATATCTCTAACCTAACACCACCATTCTAATAATATATCCACTCAATGTCATCATTCTCATAATTTTATCCAACTTAATTTGCCAAACAAGTCGTTGTTCATAATTTTGGAGAAATTATTCATTATTCCTTGAGTAAGTCTAGGTGGTGTTCTAGATGAGTAGTTACTAGTTTGAATAATGGGATCCACCATATTCATGTTAAACTTCTAAAAGATAGTAAATGTAATGAAACATTGAATAACTTCTCGTAATTTTGGGCGTATTAAACAAACGCCAAGTTCGACTTGCAGATATTCATACCATTAAAATTTAAATTAAAACTTTCACGTGTAGGCTTATGGAAATTGATTATTTTAAGCTAAATTATAAATACACCTCTTGAGATTTGATTAAAATATAAATTGTCTCATGTAGTTTTGAAAATTATATTCCACCCTCTGAGGTTTCTAATTTCATAACAAATCGTCCATTTTATTAATAAATCATCAAGTCAATTAACAGTTTTCAATGATGTTATAAATATATTTCAATTAATGATTTAGGTAATTTTATTATTGTAAAGGAGAGCAATTATGAATTTCTTTTTTTTAGTTAATTCAGTTAAATAAATTTTTTTAACAAGGGGATATTTGTAATTTTTTAAACTACAGGAAACAATTTGTACTTTAAGCAAATCTTAGGGGGTGTATTTGTAATTTATTCATTATTTTAATTAATTTTTTTATTAAAAAATGTATAAAAAATAAAGTTAACAAGAATACAATTTACAATAATTTTTAAATTTTTTTTACTACAAATCTATGTTGCCAAATGAATGTGGCACTAGCTTTTGTTTTAATTTTGTTAATCATATTATTGAATTTTGATGATATTTAAAATATATTAGATATATTATGACTTAATATGATACATATTTTATATCATTTGATACAAAATATTATTTGCTTTGCTACATACTTGTATATATATATACTAGCATATACCCGTGCCTGAAGGCACGGTGTAAATAATGTTGGGATTAGAATATAATTGTAATCCCAATACTATTTAATAAATTATCAATTATTAATTTAATATAATTGTAATCCCAACCCTTCTTGTCTTAAAAATAAATTATCAATTACAGAAATGAAATTATGCCTTCAACCTGAAAATTCCTGTTTCTATACCAAGAAAATGGCATAGGCAAACAACCATTGTTGAGCTTTGGTGACCCACCACAAAACAAACTCAAAAACATCTATCTAAGTTCACAGAAGCTGTGGGAGTTTCCAATCAAATGAAGGGATTTGAAATTAAACTTTATAAGAACATAGGCGAGTTTTCAAATGAAATTCAATTAACGCCCAAATAGTTTTATTTTAGTTTAATTACGTGTTTATGCGATCTTTAAGTTGTTGTTATGTTATTTCTTTTACAGTCAACAATAAAGTAAAAAGTTTTGCGAGCAAGTAAAGAACAAAGTTTTTCAACAATCAAAGCAAATGCAAACTCAATGTTTGAACTTTCAAGGAAGGAGAAAAAAAGAAGCTTGAAAACAAAAACCTATTTGATAAATTTTTGACAAATTTTCTACAGACTTAAAAGCCTAAAAATAAAACGTCCACTGTTTAATTGAGATTGAGATGGACTCAACTCCAAAATACATTATTATTAACTCCAAAATTCGACATATCTCTATAAAGTTAAATGTCAAATAGAAAGGGAAGCACTGTGTGCTGTACATGAAATCTTAGAAGTAATACAAAATATTATCAACCAACAAATACAAACAACAAATCCGTCAGGATTCAGAATTCAAAAAACATAATTAACCAACAATAGCGATCAAGAGCAGAAAAAGGGAAATTCAAGAGACAATGTAAAATACCTCTGTTTTGGTGTTGAACGATGGGTCTTGAAGCCACTGTTGGGAAATTAAAAACATTAAAAAAATTTGAGTTATTGACATAGAATGGTAAAGCTAAAGGAGCCTCAAGAAGGTCTATTAGTGTGTTCCCAATCTGGGAGTCCTTTGCATTATATATAGGCCAATCAGTAGTGATGGGTCATCACTCATGTCCATCTATGTGTGTCCATCTCTCACCTCACCCTTTGCCTTATTCTATACAAACATTCATATTCGACTTTACAAAACATTCATATTCAAGCAAACCCACAAAACATTGTCATAGAATTGCATATAATTGGCATTTATGTCCTGATTTGAACCTTTGTTATTTGGCATAGGGAGTTTAGTTATAGTCCAGTTTATATTATTCTCATAGGGAGTATAGTTATTTGGCATTTATGTCCTGATTTGAACCTTTGTTATCTCATAGAATTGCATATAATTGCATGTAATGTATCATTATTTGGTTGGTTAAGAGTTGAAATTGATACTGTTAAGTGTACATTTGTCATTTATGCCTGATTACAACATAATTGTCATTTGGTTCAAAGTTGAAATGGACACAATTTAGTGTAGGTCGACTTATTATATCATGCATTCAAGCAAAAAATATCATGAATTCAAGTTGGAGGTTGATTAGTTTTGGAATCAACCAAGACCAAGAACATCTCCAAGACCCGACCCCTGCTATGTAGTAAATTTAGAGAAAATATTTTAGGGTCTTAAACATTTTACTAAAAACATCTCCAACCCTTCATCAATTTTATACACTGGACTATACATGTATATATATCAAGTGAAACCCATTTCAGACCCAAAACTTTTTAAAAATGAAAATATCCAAATTCAAAATCTATTTCAAAATCTATGAAAATATAGAGTGTATAAACTGGGTTTATATATTCAAAGTCTATGAAAATATATTCAAAATCTATGAAAAATGAAAAAAATTTGTCTGACAAACTATTTTTTAAAATATTGTTCTTAAGAAACATTTCTAAACTTTTTTTTTTTAAAAAAATTTTTCAAGAATGTTTTCACACCAAAATGGAAAAGATGTGTGTTTATGAATTTGTCATTGTTTTCAAAAACCCATATAAAAACAAAAACAATAATGAAAAAAAAAAATTGAAAACAATAGTGAACTTACAAAATCATATGTTTGGTTAATGTGGTTCACTCGATAGAATTCCTCAACAGTTTGTTGTCTTTCACTCTTTGCATCATAGTCCCTGTCAAGTTTTTTCATGTTAGAATTCATCTCGTCAATTCGGCTAAAACTTGATTGATTTATAGCCCTAATTGCTACATGATGCAACTTCCATTTTTGCTCATACCGATTATAAATATAAAAAAAAAGGGGGGAAAAAGGGAAAAAAAACAAAATAAAACTGACCTAAATTAGTGGCCAAATGAATTGATCTCTGGGGCATCAAACCCAGTATCTTGCACAGATTTTGGAATTGGAAATCCTTCATGCAAAACCAAGTCATTGTTATCAAAAAGAACCCTCTTATCCTCCCCTTGTGAACCTGTCAATAAAATTAAAAAAAATAAAAATAAAAAATAAAAAATTATGAAATTGATTTTCTATACTGATCATGACAACAATCAAAGTATGTATCCAAAATGTATACAGAAACATGTTTTATAAAAACAAAAACAATAAAAACATACCCATATCAGGTTCCTCAAGTGAAACCCATTTCAGACCCAAAACTTTTCAAAAATGAAAATATCCAGTTTCAAAATCTATGAAAATATCCAGATTAAAAACTCATTTCAAAATCAACCCAACCAAACACCCACATATCAAAAATATCCAGATTCAACTTTACAAACCCACAAAAAATTTCAGATTCAAGCAAAAAAATATTCAACTTTACAAAACATTCATATTCAAGCAAACCCACAAAACATTCTCATAGAATTGCATATAATTGGCATTTATGTTATTTGGCATTTATGTCCTGATTTGAACCTTTGTTATTTGGCATAGGGAGTATAGTTATAGTCCAGTTTATATTATTCTCATAGGGAGTATAGTTATTTGGCATTTATGTCTTGATTTGAACCTTTGTTATCTCATAGAATTGCATATAATTGCATGTAATGTATCATTATTTGGTTGGTTAAGAGTTGAAATTGATACTGTTTAGTGTATATTTGTCATTTATGCCTGATTACAACATAATTGTCATTTGGTTCAGAGTTGAAATGGACACGATTTAGTGTAGGTCGACTTATTATATCACGAATTCAAGCAAAAAATATCATGAATTCGAGTTGGAAGTTGATTTGTTTTGGAATCAACCAAGACCAAGAACTTCTCCAAGACCCAACCCCTGCTGTGTAGTAAATTTAGAGAAAATATTTTAGGGCCTTAAACATTTTACTAAGAACATCTCCAACCCTTCATCAATTTTATACACTGGACTATATATGTATATATATCAAGTGAAACCCATTTCAGACCCAAAACTTTTTAAAAATGAAAAGATCCAGATTCAAAATCTATGAAAATATAGAGTGCATAAACTGGGTTTATATATTCAAAGTCTATGAAAATATATTCAAAATCTATGAAAAATGAAAAAAATTTGTGTGACAAACTACTTTTGAAAATATTGTTCTTAAGAAACAGTTCTAAACTTTTTTTTTTTTAATTTTTCAAGAATGTTTTCACACCAAAATGGAAAAAATGTGTGTTTATGAATTTGTCATTGTTTTCAAAACCCATATAAAAACAAAAACAATAATGAAAAAAAAAATTTGAAAACAATAGTGAACTTACAAAATCATATGTTTGGTTAATGTGGTTCACCCGATAGAATTCCTCAACAGTTTATTGTCTTTCACTCTTTGCATCATAGTCCCTGTCAAGTTTTTTCATGTTAGAATTCATCTCGTCAATTCGGCTAAAACTTGATTGATTTATAGCCCTAATTGCTACATGATGCAACTTCCATTTTTGCTCATACCGATTATAAATATAAAAAAAAAAGGTAAAAAAAGGGGAAAAAAACAAAATAAAACTGACCTAAATGAGTGGGCAAATGAATTGATCTCTAGAAATCCTTCATGCAAAACCAAGTCATTGTTATCAAAAAGAACCCTCTTATCCTTCCCTTGCGAACCTATCAATAAAATTTAAAATAAATAAATAAATAAAAAAATTATGAAATTGATTTTCTATACTGATCATGACAACCATCAAAGTATGTATCCAAAATGTATACAGAAACATGTTTTATAAAAACAAAAACAATAAAAACATACCCATATCAGGCTGCTCAAGTGAAACCCATTTCAGACCCAAAACTTTTTAAAAATGAAAATATCCAGATTCAAAACTCATTTCAAAATTAACCCAACCAAACACCCACATATCAAAAATATCCAAATTCAACTATACAAACCCACAAAAAATTCAGATTCAAGCAAAAAAATATTCAACTTTACAAAACATTTAGATTCAAGCAAACCCACAAAACATTCAGATTCAACTTTACAACCAAATCCCAGATTCAACACAACTTTACATTCAGATTCAAATTCAGATTCAACACCCAGATTCAACACAACTTTACATTCAGATTCAGATTCAGATTCAAATTCAAGCAAACCCACAAAAAATATCATGAATTCAAGTTGGAAGTTCTAGTTTACCTTGCAAGGGGAGAGAGACGAAAGAGGAGGGTGACAGGAGAAGAGGTGGTCGGTGGTGTCGGTGGTCGTCGGCGTCGCACGGGATGGGCTCCGATGAAGGTAGAGAGAGAGAGTTCAAAAATTGAAATGAGAGAGAGAGAGAGAGAGGAGATGAATACCTGTGATGGAGAGGGGGGAGAGAGATATTTTCAGACCATCAGAGGGAAATAAAGCCGTTGATGCTTAAATCTCTTCCTCATCAACCATTGATGGAGAGAGAGGGAAATAAAGACATCTCAACCATTGAAGTTGAGATGAGACAATTTAGACCATTGGATTAAAATGTATCTCACATACATTTTAAGACATTTTCAAAAAGCCTCTTGTCTTATTATATAGATATATATATGATGCATTCAAATGTAAATATTATTTAAATAGATTTTATTGTATATTATATAATATTTTAATAAAAAATTACTGTTTACTTTTTGAAAATCAAAGTATTGTGCAAGTAGTACTTTACTGGTCATCAAAAGTGATCTTTGGCTATAATTTGAAACTCCTGCCTGCAAATTTGAAAGAGAAAAAACTGTAGCTGCGTGCCTGTCTCCACGTGATCTGAGTTGCAAAAGTCAAACGAGAAGTGCCTCCTCTCCTAAACGGAGGTGGTGTCTGTTTGGCAGAACTTAAAAAACAGCTTATTTTAGCTTTCAGTTTAATTTAAGCTATTTTGATGTGTTTAGTTTAGCTTATAGCTTATAGCTTATAGCTTTTTGGAAGTCAGAAATCAGCTTATTCTTTGAGTGGGGCAGGAGATACTTAATTTATAAGTCAGAAATCAGCTTATGTTCATAGTTATAAGTTATAAGCTGTTTAGGCATAAGCTATAAGCACTTTCCCACAGCTCTACCAAACAGGGCCATAATTTTTTATTATAAAAGAAGTATTTTGCTTAGAGAAAAATAAGAAGTGACGAAGAGAAAAATCTGTAATATTGAAGTATTCTCAGATATTATGTTGTGTGTTTTTAGTGATTTATTATTCATTTTGAGAGAAAATTTGTTGAGAGTTTGAGTAAAATTGTAAAAGGATTTTCTATTTTCTTATTATTATTGTAAAAGAGAGAGTTTTGTGAGTAATTTTTTGGGATAAAACTAATTGGGTTAGATATAACTAGGCACCGAATTCAAAACTTGTTGGTTGGAGAGATTGGGTTTGATCATTTGTTGTGAAGATTCACTAACACTCGCGAAACTAGTGGTATATTACTATTTGAAGAATAGTGGAGAAATTCTAAACAAGGATATTTGGGAAGTGGATGTATGTTTGGGTTAAGTCGAATCACCATAAATCGTTGAATTTGCTTTATCTTCCCTTTGCTCATTTTATTTTATTACTATATTTTATATTGTTGAGCATTTTTATTTATTTTATATATTGGGTTGATATTTTAATTTAGCAATTTATTTAGAAATCAATTCACCCCATTTTGGGTTGCCTATCTAGGGTAACAAATTTTATTAAAAACTTAGGAGAAATTATATAAAAAAAAATCTAAAGTTTGATTCTTTTAATTTTGTCAATTTGTTTTTAATGTAAATTATTTATTTATTTTCATTGAAAAAGTTTTTTATTCATTAATTCAACGTAAGTGCACATAAAATGCCTAAAACACTCATTTTTGTTGAATTTAATGACTAAATATAATTTTTTGATCAATTTTACTTAATGAAAATAGGGAAATAATTTAGATTGAAAACAAATTAAAAGATTAAGATTTAAGTTGAAAAAAAATTAAAAAATCATGATTTATTTTATTATAAGGGTTAAAGCATGTTTTTATTTTTATTTTTTGTAATTTTTCCAAAAAAGGATTGGGCTATTTTTTAAAAAGACCTATTCTTAATTGTTATATTTCATTTAAACCATCTTCTTTTTTAATATTCTTTTAGGTCCTGTTTAGAGTAGCATGACCAAATCACCCTTTCAATTTTTGTGCATGTTTCCATTTTGAAACCAATACACAATAAAAAAATGACAACAGTTTCTCATTACATGGAGAAAATCTTTCCCTTATTCCATGGAGAAAATCTATCCTCATTTCGAGGGGAATCTTCTCATTTTAAGAAGAAAATTTCCTCTTATTTCATGGAGAAAATCTCTCATTCATTCAAGGGAGAAAATCTCTCCCTGATTCCATGAAAAAAATCTCACATTTCTAAAACCATAAATCGTCTACCATATGAAATCTCTCACTAAATGTTGATGTGAATTTTCATATTACAAATATGCGTTGGTAAATAACATCCCCTCATGGAATCATACACTATGAACATTCACATTGTTTGTGCTAGCATGACTATTTTTTAATGTGAATATTAACATGAATTGTGATTTGTGAGTAATGCATTGTTGATGTTGTCCCAAACTCGCCTCTATAGGTTTAGCATCATAATTGGCCAGTAATCTAGGGATTACCGAAGGCCTCTGAATAGATTGACAGAATAAGGGGCTTGCGAAAGTAATTATACAAACATATAATGTCCATAGAGCTGTGCAGATATATATGGGACAGAAAATTTAAAACTTAATTTACATAAATATGACGTCATTTTATGTACATATATAACAAAAAAAGACCTAGCCCAATATACAGATAAACAGAAAGTCTTGAACAAACTTAAACAAAAGAAAATAAAAAGACTTAAGCTTGATCCACAATCACGACCACAAGACACTTCAGGAACCTCCTCGGGAGACACAAAGGTTGGCTGACAAAACAGATGCCAGGCAGCAGCTTAGGCTTGGTCACATACTTGCTCACCTACATAGATGAATAATACAATGAGCGGGAGCCCAGTAAATAATAATAGAGTAAAGATTTTATGAATGATGTCCATAACAGATTTAGAAATCAAAATTCAGATCAGTAACAAACTCATATTCATAGTCATAATCAGAGTTCACATATGATCATACATGGTATATCCATTAACGCTAACAAATTTGATGACCCATAATTATATGGGACGCGGTACTGATGACTCATGTGCACAGAGACGTTCATAAATATTCACATGACGATGACCCATAAAAGACCTGAGGACCCGTAAAGGGACGTAAGATATCATATGATACTAAGGATGCCACGAATACATCAGAAAATTGGACAATCATTCATTTAATCACAAAATAGCATTTCAGAAAATAGATCATATCATATCAGTCAGAAGATACTTAAAGTTTAACATAACTTTACAGAGTTATTACTCACAGATAGCTCCAGTAGCAAAACAGATGTAGCAAACAGATCAGACAGTCTACGTCGTGTGACCTACACAAACATATAATGGATACACATTGAAACACATGCTCAGAAAAATATGTAACTTATTTCTTTTCTATCTTGGTGTGTTTCTAATCCTTATCCTCATTATTATGTCTTAATTAAGGCTTAGGAATGCCTAGGATGAAATGAGGATGCCAAAATGTAAGTTGAAGCACTTAGCCAAAATTCTGAAAGCAGGATAGTTCGTTCGAGTGCAACTTTGGTTGTTCGAGCAGACTCTTTGGTCTGCAAAACTTCTAAGAGCTCTCATTTTATGCTTAAGCGAAGAGCTTGGTCACTTGAGCCACGATGGAAAACAAAGGGTGCCCACTTGAGCGCTGGTTCTGTTGCTCAAGCTAAGGCCTACGTCTGTAAAAGTATTGGGAGCTCGAATTTTACGCTCAAGAGAACTTTGTGTCACTCGAGCCAAGGTACAAAACAAAGGGTGGTCGCTCGAGTGCAGGTTTGGTTGCTTGAGCGATGATGCAGAATTTTGAAATTTCTAGATTGCTGTTCAAGAAGCAAAACTCAAATTCAAAGCTTCAAAACATATCATTTGGGCCCAAAACTTGAAAACATGTCTAAACTTGTATACCATCATGAATTGAAAGCCATTTCACAAAATCAAGGCCCAAAAGCAAATGAATTATTCAAAACAACTCTTGAAACTTTGAAAACATAATATGCATGCAATGGTATGAACTCCAACTTTCCAAAACATGATCAATTGAGATAAAATGTCATGAAATGTGATGAATTCTCAAAACCAAGCTAGAATTATTACATGAATGAGGAAGTTTCTTGGAAAACATCCTTAAAATCGTATGAAATACACATGTGTGTATACAATGTGTTTGATTCTTACATAATTAAGGTGATCCTAACATGTTTTCTTCAATCTTATATAAATACTCCTACACAACTCATGAATTCATCTTCCATAGGTTTATGTACAAGAATTAGAAGAGCAACTCACACCTAGAGTATGAATTCAAGGCGTTTAAGCTTAATTCTCCAAGTCTTCTACCAATCCCTTTCTATTTCCTCTTTTCTAAGCTTTGATCTCAATCTCCCAAGTTCTCTCTCTCTCTCTCTCTCTCTCTACGTTTGGTGTCTCAAAGATGATGAAATGGGGGTGTAATGTAATCTAGAAGCCATTTAAGCCTTATATAGGCTTGGTTTAGTGTTGGCTAATCAAGCTTGGCCTAAACTAATCAAATTGTAATTATTAATTCTAATTATTTGGTTCCAAATCAAATTTTGATTAAACCTACCATAATGTTCTAAAAATTCCAAATAACACATAAACCAAGTCAATTTCGTGATAGGATGCCGATAAGGCCTTCAATTTGCATACCGAAACAGAAATACGAACATATATTCCTACCATGAACATATATAAACTCAAATAAAACATAGAATGCACAATTAATTCGTAATTTCATCTTAATTCCTTGTTAAGCATTCTTAATTAAGGATTATAGGCTAATCATAGGTCGAGATTGTTACAATTGTGGTAAATGCAACTCCTACATAACTCATGAATTCATCTTCCATAGGTTTTATGTACAAGAATTAGAAAAGAAACCCATACCTAGAGTATGAATTCAAGGTGTTTAAGCTTAATTGTGACACCCCAACTATGATAACCCTGTTCCATGTTATGTTAATTAATCTTAATTATGATTGTGGTTATGTGCTTAATATGATTTTGAGTGATACTTATATGATTATGTGTGTGTGTTTGAATTCCTATATGTTCACCATAGGAAAAGCTGTTTGGTTTTCTGCTATAGAATTTAAATTGAAGGCCGTAGAGGCGTCAGAAAGTGAAATTGACTGTATTTTTGTGCTTAGCATGATTTTTTGAGCCTATGGTGAAGTTTAATTAAAAATTGATTCGGACCAAATTAATTAGATTAAATTGATTAGCCTTAACCTAAATTGATTAGACAAATATATATAAGTGACTTAGTTACACTTATGTTCACTTTGGAGCTCATTCCTTACAACTTGGCTGAAATCACATTTTAGAGGGAGAGAGGGCTGGTTCTAGAGAGAGAC